TATTCACTTGCATCATAAATAGTAGTACTGCACTTGCAAAATACTTAAAAAATACAATTTATAAAACCTAATTGTAATACATATTTTATATATATCCTTTGATTTGTTTGTAATTTTGTAACTTTTGTTGTTTTTGTTTATTTGTGTTTGTTTTTTCTGATCTGTATCCTTACCATACAGCACCCACTGATGGTGCAGTTGTGTAATAAAGTTATTCAATTTATTATTATTATTATTATTATTATTATTATTATTATTATTATTATTATTATTATTATTATTATTATTATTATTATTATTATAAATAATATATTTAAGTAGAATAGATAAATAAAGAATACTTAAAAATGATCGTGACCAAACCAAATACATTTGTATTAATTACTGTATATTCGGGGTGAAATGATAAATTGTATTAAATTGTAATACAGTTGATCTACATCACCGTCTACATAGAGTTTATTTCTGTTTATAGTTTTAGTTTGTTTACTCAGCTTAGCAACAGTATAGGCGATTCCATTCAATACTTGTCAAGAGGCGAACGAGCTGTGATGGGTGGTGTGAATGTTGAACTTGAGAAATGCCGCATCGTCCATTCAAGTTAAAGGTGAAATCTACGTGTTGATGACGTAACCGATTTTATCGCATTGACGAACACCAGTCTTAATTTGCACACAGTCAGAGGGACTGTGATTTGCATTTCAAAAAAGGAACATCAATGGTTGACCTTGTGGGTATCTAAGAGCTGAAGAACCGCTAAACGTTTTAGCCCTGAGTGTATCACTGTCTGCGATACCGTGCAGATAGCCAGGTAAGTGACGGACTAAACAGAGTACCGATTCAGAGGAAATGCTTCTACGTTGCCCAGCACGCGCTGCTCCCCGCATACCTCTTGAAGCGTTCATGCCACAGTAAATATCAGTGCAGGCATAACCGCTACGACAGCGACACAGCCTCAGTATGTCTACAGTCTAGCACTGTGGTTTGTATTTGTAGGACAATACTGGGAAACGAATATGAAACGCTGCATTCGATTTACATTATACGACCACAGTGTAGGGTCACTGTAGTTGAGAGTTACTAGTCGGATTTAATCATAGACCCTCCAGTAGAGGACTGGAGACTGGAGGGTCTATGATTTAATTCAGCAATAGTCCTATATTGTAAAAGCGACCACGGCACAGCCTTTTTTCCCATCAGCTACTGTTCGTGGAGACTCCTAGACGTGCTAGTGTTTCAGAGAGATCACCACATAATACGTTTTGTATTGTTTCCCTCTATCGACTGAAGCAAGTAGGCACATGTTATTATTCCTAGAGCACAACGGTTTAGCCAGGCAAGCAGTATCAGAATGGACATTACCCGTATGTGTACGCTAAGTATAGTCATGGAGGTAAAAAGAGGAGGAGTCACAGCCAAAATAATCCTCCTAAACTTAAACAAGTTTAATCCCATAATTTCCTTTGTCATATCGTCCTTCGCCCCAGGATCGTCGCCGACGCATGATTTACTCTCAAGCGTTGCTGCGCACAGTACACATTCCAAGGTCTTGTTTTACGGTGTCGCAGTAAATGTCAAAGGACATAAAGCATGCGCAGATCTTCTATACGTAAAGGAATCGTGTTTGTGAGATCGGGAAAGTTGGAAAATCGGAGAACTTCTTCTTAAGTTTATGTAATTTTTCGTTTTCAGCACATTTTCCGTTGTATTTTTGAATCAGCAATATGGTAATGTTTTGAAACCTTGCTAGTACTGTTTTTTAGTCCCAAATAAAGCTTGTTTAATGATCTTTGCAATGGTGCATGGCATGGACCGCACCCGAGGGGGGTGTCACTCTATATTAAAACCTTACACCATGTGCGTTCTTGCTAAAAAAATAATAGCCCCCTAGAGCTGGCAGCACATTGGCAAACCATACCCCCTATTGCGGACGCAATGTAAATTAAGTACCTCCTAGAGCAGACATATTGAAGAAAAAAACACCCCCTATTTCAGACACATATTGAGAACATCCTACCCCATATTGCGAGCATTCTCTGCCGTTTTTTTGCAATCAAGTGGAGTGTGATCAACTCAAACAAGTTACTATGTATGCAACTCCTGTTGGTGTCATTCGTTGTTTGATGAAGAAAAATGAGACTAGTGACATGATTGTGAATATAATCATTTATTTTATAATTTAATACACAATGCACACGACTTTGCCAGTATTCTCATTCCATCAGATATCATTACGCAATTTTATGTTCAGCTCCGAGTGACTTTGGCATGAATACAGGGTAGAAAATCCAGAGAAAAAAAACAGGAGCTGGATGCAAATGAGACTGAGGCGCGAAAGAAGTTTCGGAAGTGTGGATGACTCTGGGGAATGACTTTCTGTATGCGGCTTATTGTAATCGACGAAACGAAACAATAACACACATAATAAAAATTACACTGTAATCAGTGAAAATGAATTTTATACGCACAATATTTACAAAATATTTGCCGAAAATAATAATATTTAATACGTATATGGCTCGTTTCGCTAATTACAGATAATCAAAAATCTGTAACCAGAAGTTGGAAGTGGCGGGTAAGTGGGAAAGTTCAGGCGGACGTTTGTGGCCTAGTCGGGACTATGGGTCCGCCAATTTGGGGCCTAGGGCGGTGTATGAGAGTGGTTGTTGCGAGAGAAGGCCTACGGCGGGCGCAGCAACCCTGTGAGTTTATTTCTGGGGGCCTATTGCAGACATTAGCATTTTAAAGGGGGCCTATTTGCCTCCCGCGCGGGCCCGCTCTGGAAGGTGAAAAACATCCCACTTTCCCGCTAAATTTGGAACGCACTTGGGGTAGTAACAGCATATAGAGTGAACCCCCGGGGGACCGCACCGCGTTGTGCCAGAGACTGAATTTTGAGGTTCGAAATGACACTTTTTGAAGTTTATATCCCGTGTATGTCCTACTTCCTATGGCAGTGCGTCAATTTTCTTTAAACACAATGTACAAGAAATTCGCTGCATTTTTTGTTTTCGAGCAATCGTTTCGATCACAGCATATGCAAAACAATTCTTCGTCTGTAATATGCTCTTCGATTTTGTTTTACGTCTTCTGAACTGAAGAATATAGCAGTTTCAGCATCGTAGTCAAACTCGTTATCGATCGTCGCCATATTTGTTCATAAGAATTTGACTAGAATTGTCACGAAAATCTCCGAGTGCTGCCGTACCATCCTGGTACCTTTGATCTAAGCTTGGCTGTGACTCCTTCTCTTTTTACCTCCATGGTATAGTATAGTAGTATAGTACGTTACACCAGTTTGTTTGCTTACTAGCATTTATGAAAGAATTTTTCGACTGTGGCGAAATTATTTCAAACAAGCTGCGTATAATTATTCAAATAAAATCAATCGGGAATTTGATTCAAATTATGATATAAATAATTCGGTCTAATCGAACAAATATCCATAATTGCTAATTTGCATAATTATGACTAATTATAAGCAGTGAATAAATGTAAATTCGGGATTTGTTGATTTCATACGTACTTCCCTCAGTATAAATTAGATTATAAAATTTTACTTTGAGAAACACGTGTGTAATAGTCTTCTCAATAATCGACGAATCTTTTCCAAAAAAACGATGAGTGTAAGTTGTCGTTTAAATATACAACTGTTTGGTTGTGTTCGTTTCATTAAACTATTTGTAATCTCTGAATAAAATTAATTTTATTGACGGACTACAGCACATACAGAATTGGCGACGTTGTGATCGGCCCCATATACTCATTAACATCATAGAGAGCGATGCTGAATTGTCCGAGTTACGGACATCGAGTTAAGAAAACATCGAGTTACAAAATTTGAAAGTTAAACAAAACAAAAAATATATGTTGCCCGTAACTCGAAGTTTGGTTAACTGTTAATTGAACACCGAGTTACAATTTGGGCATGGTTTCACAAAAGTGGGCGTGGTTTCAAAAATATGGGCGTTACTCGATGTTTTCGTAACTCGATGTTTGTAACTCGAACAATTGAACATCTCATTCGTTCTTGCATGCGTATCACAGTGGAGTTTCTGACAGAGGTCCACTAAAGACACCTACATACCAATTAAGAAAGAAGAAATTGAAATGATCATTTAATAATTGTGGTAATTCCCGGCTCACCTTGGGTAAGCCCGGAATTACCACGTGACCTAACCCACACGCCATCTGTTCATTTTTACAACACAGGTGATATAAACACAGACGTTCCTAGAGTAGTCTCTCTGATAGTTTCATGGCATCTGCGGACATCGCTATGCACGGTACGTGATTTCTTTTAATCAATATTTGTCTTTGTAATGTCTCTGCATTCTCAACGCTGATTGGCCGAATTAAAAAAAACTATATATCTTGCAAAACAATACTGAAAACACTTTTTTGGATGTATCTCTCTAACTTATAAATATTGTGTACAATGTTTTTAAATATACTGGCAGGTTTTGACAATTTGAAGAGAAAAAAAATACCCTTGATGAGACCCTTTCTTTGCCGAGGTGCTTCACTTCTCCACCCAACTTAAGACACAATATTTTCTCTGATCCTAACTGATATATTTCATCAGCAGTGAGTGGCAGTTACCGGGGTGATGAAGTAGACGGTAAGATACATGAAGTACGTATAGATGTAGACTCATTACGGGACTACTCGCCTAATCTTGGTGTCATCAGTGGAGAACAGACCCAGAATGGTCATGTGGTGGCGCACTTTCAGTCATCTTCCTTGAAGTAAGTATTAGTATCAGTTTCCTAGATTTCCATATTCGGCAGTGTTCCATTCGTATAGAGCCCGAGGCCGCTATCCCACATTTTTAAACATTGCACCCTTTGATTTTCGATGAACGATGTAGACCATTGCACTGATGAAAAATGCCATGCTAGCAATATAATATTCTAATCCAATCACAATTCTATTTTGTAAAGCCGTTAGGATGAACGCCACTGTCTAGTAAAAATGCAAACAATATACAAACACCATAAGCGTTTGATAATCTGCAGAGCGAACGGTCATCAAATAAATGAAAAAAAGTGGTAATAACAAAAGAGGTATTCAAACTTGTTTCCATGGAAACAAGAACTACGTAGTTTTCTCATAGTGTTAAGCGGGCATTTCGAATTTCCAAAATGGTTGGCACTAAGGATCATAAGGATTGTCAGAGAGAGACATGTGCTAAACACGCATATCCTTAAATGATTAAAACATAGACAATCGCGCCAGCAATGTGAATGGTACATAATTCAATGGTATATAATGATATCGCTTCATATACTGGAAAACGTCTTCCATGATACTGGTACTCCAAGTTGTGGTTTGCTGTGTGTACGCCCTCTTCAGTTCAGAGATACATTGTACAGGTTTAATTGAACATACCTTACCCTGGTTATTGTAATTCATATTTACGTTTAATATATATTCTCAGAAAGGAAGAAGAATATACTTATGTTGGTTTTTGTATTGTAATAAACGGAGATGGAGAGAAAACGCCGAGCAAGTTGACTGTAAGGTTAACTAAACAGTGCATGGAAAGCAGACGTTAATCTGCCCCAGGCAGGCATGGCATTCCAATGTATCAAGTACAGTGACGTAAGTAACAGTCTCAGAATAATTAAACATTTGTAGACGTGTGGGTGAGGTGAAACACGAAGTTGATCAGTACATACCCACAAATTATTATGAATATGGACTCGTAATTCTCGAAACGAGAACGTCATTGAAATTGAACTGTTGATATCAGTTATTTCATAACAATAAATGTTGGCAGTATACATTGTAGGTTTGTTTAAAGATATTCATTCAGTTTATTCTGGAGTGGAAAATAGTGATTTTTTTGCCCAGTAGACGAAACACATTGAGTGACGTGCCATTTTACATGGGCATTTAGATATCCATTGTTTTTTTTAATTGTATATATTTACTTGGTTTTAGTTTAAATAAAAATACAAGTACAATGTACATGTATTTAAATGTCTTATATGATTTACATGATGGTCACGAGATTTGACTATCGAAATGAGGACCATAGTTGACAGCAAAAACAAAATTTAACAAAAAGTTATACCTCATAACTGCATAACCTGTACATTTGCTATGCGTTTCGTATGTCCAGAATTGAAGTTATAATTTAAGAGAATTAAAATAGTTATGCTCTGGTCATTTTTTATACTAGAAAGTAATTTAAACTATTTAATAAAATTCTTTAAAAATGCTACTATAAATATTATTACATAGTCTATTAAGTAATGTAGGCATACAGTTCTTTACAGAAATATTTAATGTATAGTGACTATTAGTCTATTACGTTTCTAAGATCATCTTACCATTGAACTCTACTTAGGCTGAAGCGTCTGCCCTAGACGAAATTCTTGGCCGAAACGTCCGTCCACCACAAACTCGCCCACCCATCTAGCTACGGTTTCTAACTGAAGTACTGAAGTAAAAAGGTGTCAGTCTCGTAAAGCTAAATGTTGAAGCCCTCCATTGTTTCAATTCAGTAGCCAAGATAGATGCATGTTATTTCAACTATGATATGGAAAATAATAAAACATATTAAAATTAGAATGAATGAATGAGTAGAAATCGTATACACTTACATGGTTCCTACAGTTAGACAGCTTGCAGCCGAAAACAGTAAAACAAATCATAAAAACAAACTTCCCAGTGAAATTAATGTAGTATAATTATAGTCCAATAATATAATCATACATTAAACAAATTTGATGTTACAACAGGGCTCTATGAAAAGATACGAGCCCCCTAACGCCCTCTATATATTTTCTATCCCACAGTCTTTTGCAAAATCCAATATGGAATTAACACATTTCTTCCCTATATACAAGTATAAGGACCATCAGTGGGTGGTTGTTCGATTTCGAACAAATAAATTAGTAAATAATTTCTAGCCTTTTATTCAGGTAATTAACTCCACTGACAAACACCACAAATCATCGAAAGTCGTAGCAAAATAACGCAGTTGAAAAAGTTTCTCTCATCGTCTGCACACATTGTCATGATTTGCTCTGTTCTCGCGCTGTATCACGTTCTACGATTACGTCAGTTCTATTTTTAGTAATATCTCATAATCGTAAAACACGCTATACATAGTAATGCAAAGTACATGCCATATATTAGCCTGGAAAGTAGGCGTACGTGGCGCCCTGGACCCCACCAGCCACCTACGCAAACTTTTCAGGCTAGCCATATAAGTATTCAGTCTAATTTCCTTTAATAATTTAAATGTCTGTTCTAGTTTTTTCGTCATATCATGGTGGATATTGATTACAGTCTAGACAATTTATTGTTGCCGATATTTGACACGACAAGCCATCCAAATCGATCAGTAGAGCTACCAGAGAGGCAACTATCAGTATTCACACCACTAGAAGACGCCGGTATCCAGGTTACATTTAACAAGAAGATGACTTCAAAGGTATTATGAGTTGACCATTGTTTTATGAAAGATGAGGGGGTAAATTTTCTGCCAAATTGTTACTTTGTTGTCTAGATGGTTTTAGACGGACTGTGTCGAGATCCTGCGTCGCTCTTCATCTCTCATTTTCCCAAGTGAATAACAACTTTTTATAACAACTTTTTATATCCTATTTTATTTTCCTTTTTTTACTAAACATTTTTTGTAAGAAAAAAGGGAAATATCGTTGATTTGGGGTGCTCGAAATAATCTTAACTTGAAATCATCATGGTCTCCTCCAAACATGCTTGTTCCATAATTATTTTAACCATTGGTTCTAAAGTAAGTAAACAATTGGCAATTTAAAACTGCGTGTTTTAAAGAAAATATTTGTTCTACTTTCAGATTGAAGATCCCGATCCTTCAACCCCTTGGACGTTAAGTGAGCTCTATGAAGCTATGTTGTCCCATCAAGATAAGGACCCAACCACATGGAATGTATGGATACTTTTAGCACCGAAATACCGGGATCCTCGCACAGCGGGTTTAATGTTTGACCGAAAAAATAGGAAAGGTTTTGCTTTATTCATGGATCACAAGTGGTTCCGAGATATGAACCTGGCTGCAGGGAACGACAAGATAAAGAAAAAGAAAAAAGCAGCTGCAATTCGTAGATTTGTACATACATTTGTCCACGAGATGGGGCATACGTTCAATCTACAACATGCCTGGGAAAAAGGAAAACCAGATTCTGTATCCTTCATGAATAGTGATTATAGATATGACACAAGAAATGGCGTGGGTTCCTACTTCCGCGAATTCAAATTCATGTTCGATGAAGATGAAATTCGGTTCTTACGTCATGGTCGTCCTGAATGGGTACAGCCAGGTGTCTCGCCTTTTGGAAGAGATTTACCTGCAAGTAGCCTTCCCGCTGACCCTGATGACAGTGATCAGGTATCTAAACGATTAACGCTTACACTCAAGCCCAGCAAAGAATCATACACTCAGATGGAAGTAGTTCGAGTTGAGTTAAAGCTGCAGAATCAGCATAAATACCCTGTGTATGTTGAAAGTAGTTTAGACCTAAGCCAGGAATGGGTTAGGGTGTTCATAACGTGTCCAGATGGTGGAGTTGTGCAAGCGGACACATTTGCCAATGGAGCCGTGGCTAACCATATCAAAGCATTATACCCTGCTGGCTCAGAAGAAGGATCAGATAGAGTCAGTGAAGTTATACCATTGGTTTATGGAAAGGATGGTTTTTACTTCAAAGAACCGGGAAAATATTATATCAAAGCAATTTATACATTTGGCAGTTATTATGTGGTATCGGTGTTGGCAAGAATAAATATCATACCATTTGCAGGAGAGAATGCCATTGTGGACGCATTTTTTACTGAGGAAATTGGAGAGTACATTGCCATTGGCGGATCTGGTTCAGTAAGATACAGAAAGGCCAGAGAACTGATCAACAGGCTTGCAACATCTGAAGAGCACAAGGTTTGGGCAGGAGAAATTGCAGTAATTGCTAGCGATAATCTATCTCACTCAACAAGAAAATCATTCACAATAGACGGTACTGCAGTTAGTGTTAGCAGAGAAGATGGAGATGCTCTAGCTAAAGATGTTATTAAATCAACACAAATCATTGCTGATAATTTCCATATTGATGGAACTCAGGCAGACAACATCATGTACCGGAAAACAGTTTTTCTTCGCGCCCAGGCATATTTGAAGTCACACTATAAGGTCAAAGCCCAAAGTGAAGTGAGGAGATTGATAGCTGATTTAAAATCACGTGGAGTTAAAGATTCTATTATCCAGGAAATGGAGAATGAATGGTTGATATTGCAAGGTGATCATGTTAATCTTTCATTAGATTCAGATCCCCAACGTAGGGCATTATGGAACATAATAACACCTACAGTAAAAGAGTTGCAACAAAGAGTGAAAGATATTCTCTTCTGGCAAGCAAATGATGACAGTCAGGAAGAAGATGAATGTGGTATAGCACATGGAAAAGTTTTTTCTGAGTTTGATGATGAACATCTTCAGAAATCTTCTAATGTGATTGAGCAAATCTTTCTCAAGGCTGATGAATCATTTGACATAATCGACACCTTAGAATTTGTTGATTCTCTGCAGAAAAGCAGACGTTACAATCGTTATGTTATCCAGTATGCCTTTGAAATATTTCTCACTCATCATTCCCTTGCTCGTAGTAATAAATTGAAGGTTCCAGAATTTACTGATGCACCATCTGGTATGGACATGTCCACTCATGCAATGGTACCTCCTGTTGGTGAGCCAGAAGAGATATGGATGGATTATTGGAGGCATGATGCTGATTTTGTTGATCATCATCGTCATTGGCACAGAGTATACAGAGCACGAGGTATTCCTGGTACAGAAGCAGATCATCTGGATCGCCAGGGAGAATTGTTTGTATATATGCATAGACAAATGTTGGCGAGGTATAATGCGGAGAGAGAGGCATGGGGACTTGAACCTGTGGAACCTTGGGAATTTACAGACGTAGATCCTTTGGGTAGTGATGCTGGAGACGAGTTTCATAATAGTGACCGGAACTCTGGTATTCGTCCTCGGCCAGCTGGACTAAAGTGGTCCATGCCTGATATTCGACAGTTCCAAGTGTGGACTAACAACATCAGACGTGCATTCCGAGAAAATATTATTCAACCAAATCAAGGAGCACAGAGTGCTCTACAACAAATTAGACTAGGTGAAAACAATGACCTTGAAAATCCAAGTTCTAGCTCAGCGAATTGGGTTGGGCATATTGTCGAAGCCACATCAGGAACATTCTATGATAATTATGGCAGCCTTCACAACAGTGGACATGGTGTTTTTGGTCAACTTGGCCAACAGTCTGGTTTCAGCACATATATGGCCACAACTGCTCATGCTGTGCGAGATCATATTTTCTTTCGCTGGCATAAATTCATTGATAACTTGGTTGAAGAGTATCACCAGACACAGAAAACCGAACTTGGTGTTGACTCGCCACCTGTTGTTATTGAAGAAAACGATATCATAATCAGCACATCAACACATCCTCCAGATGGATTCTCAGACTGGAATGAAAATCACTGGAGTAACAACAACTTTTCATCTGACCTTATAGAAACCACTCTAGATCTACCCCAGCGACAATTTGAATGGGGAAAGTTATCTCACAATGCATTCAACTACCATCTACGAATCCGAAGACGTGGTGTCACTGGTCAGGAACTTCGTCTAACATTTAGAATTTTTATTTGCCCAGCACAGCATGCTAATGACAGAAGACGGTGGATTGAAATGGATAAGTTCAGATATATTCTTGGTGCCATGGAAACTAACAGCATAATCACAAGACAAGACGTGCATTCATCTGTCATTAGAAGATTCCCACAAGACGCTGCAGATGACCTTGAGGTACCACTTGCAAGAACTGTTAGTGGGTTTTGTGAATGTGGTTGGCCATACAACCTACTGTTACCAAGGGGAAAAGCAGATGGTGAGAAATATCTGATTGCAGTGTTGATATCTGACAACTCAATTGATTCTCTGAGAATTCGTTCTTCTTGTGGAAGTCTGAGCTACTGTGGAGCACGTGATAACAAATACCCTGATCGTCGGCAAATGGGATATCCTTTTGCAACACCAATATCAGTGAATGGCCAAGAGATGTCTGTCACTGAAACCATTAGCAGCTTGGACAATTTCACGTCATCAGCTTTTGTAATAAAAAACACTGATCGACGCTTTGGAGATAAAACCCATCATGAACCAACAAGTCATCTATCAGATATTCATACTGATATTGTAGCATGGAGGTCTCGTAGCCAACTAAGTCTACGCATAAGTGATGAATTTCGCCTTAGCAGCTGGGACGGACGATTTCGATTATTAATTGATGGCAGACAGATTATAGATACCAATGCATTTGCAGAAACTGGATACATACGGTTAAGATTACAGGTGAATTGATATTTATATTCAACATATTTCATTGGCTTTTGGAAATATCAAATATATTACAAAAGCAAAATTAGTAATGGGTGAATTTGGAGAGTCGTTACTGTCTAAGAATACTCATTGTACATTTGTGTTACTGGTGAACTGTTTCTTTTATAATATAGAAAATCAATACCTCCAAGCAATATCATATTCGATCAGTTTGATTAGTAACATTGAATAAAAGACAATTAACCATTGAAAGATGGGCTTAGGTATACTTTTTTTGTGATGATGCTATGCAATACAGTATATTCAGTACGTTATTTATCTTTACTTAAAGATTTATTATTCTACCATTTTCTCTCTGCAGGGTCGAGGGCAGGGACGTGGTGTTTATGTCATCACAGGTGTTACCATGGCAACAAGACAAGGCCAGACTCTGAATACTTCTGGGGAAGTATATGAAATCACATTCAATGACGGAGAACCCAGTGCAACCATTCCCGAGACTGGTATTCTGACAGACCCGATACAGATGACACTCATTCCACAGTCTGATTACTTTCTGACCTTTACCTTGCAGGCACCCGGAGTGTATCTCGTTGGTAATGGCGACACATGTATGTGGAGAATTGCCAACCCTAGAGGGCGTGCACTAGATGAAATGAACTGGGACGTCGATGAGGTCAATGATCAGATTACACATACTAGGCGAAACCTTTATGTAGTTGCAAGAATTCTCATAAACAATTAGAAAACAAAACAAGCTGACGTGAAAATATGCAAATGCTTAGGGAGACAACGTTTGTTTAAATAGAAATGCGTAATCGCTAAATGAAGATGTGTATGTTTTAAAAGCAGTCACACTTACACGGTTCGTATTTTTTCCACTTAAATTGTATACGACAAATACAAACAAAATTATAGTCAAATCTGACAATATTTTGATTGCTTGACTCCTACATATCTTAATAATTTAAAAAAAAAAACAATAACAGAAGATCGAGCATAATTTATAAATTAATTAGCACATGGAACTATAATAGTTCCATGATTAGCATAACATATCAAATTGTGTAACATGTATCAGAATCGACCCCTCCACTATTTTCCACAATCTAATTGCCATGTTTGTAACATTTTTAAAGAAATTACCAATCTCAGACAGTTTATCAAGTCTGTACTTTGTCTGTAGTTTAAATAGAGAACATTTTTTCTCATCACAACACTTAAACTTGACACTTGATTATGTTCGCATGTAATAAATCATGACTTTTTCAAATAAAAAAAAAACGTTTCAAAAAGACATTGTAATTTTCTCTCGTTTTGCATAAAGTTGAACTTGATACATGCAAGGAAAAAATATATTCCCGAAATAAGTGAAACTGTGTCAAACATTGAAAGGTGATGGTCGTTTCGCGGCACGTGTTCGAATTTCGGGTACATGCGTAGTATGTGTTGGACCCATATCAAACACGACAGCGGCGCGACGACCACCGCCCTTTAATGCATATAAATAATTGTTTAGCTTGGCAATATCAATGTGTTCACTACCGACGGCAGTGTGTGAATATGTCAGGCTAGCCATTTCCCGATCATATCACTGTTTAATTCCGAATGATAATAAATTATTTGAATAAACACGTGACAGTGTTTTGTTTATTATTCAATAGACTTTGACATCATTGCCATAAGTATTCCCATGTCTATTTTGGTCACTATGGTAGATATCTTTCTGTTCGGTAGATGGTCGGCCCAATCCACTACCATCTGGCCTCTGCTGTATGTACCATTGAGTTCTACCGTGGCATGGCGCTGTTCCATCTCCAGTATTGCCCTTCTATCTATCGCCACCATCATTGCAACCGCATCAGGCACATTCCAACCATAATTTAAAAACAGATCTTTACTCTGGAAAATAAATGATTCCAACTATTGCAACAACATTAATACATTATTATCTGAAAACATCAAACTAAATGTAACTTCCCTGGCGATGTTTATTTCATAAAACTACCTAAACTATGATGGTATATACATATACCATCATAGTTTAGCTAGTATAAATACTAGATTTCAAATTGTTTCCGGGGAGTATGCCCCGGACTCCCTTGGTAAGGTAACGCCTTTGGCGAGAGGGATGGTGAGGAGAAGTGCCCCCATGCAAAATGACATGCCGCCGCCTCTGCTTTCTACACTGCCTCTTTATTACTAGTATATTATTGTAATTTGTCTTATTCAAAACATGTATATTTTGTTACAATTCCTATTTAGAACGTTGGGTCAAATATCATTTTTCTGTAGTCACATTTTAAAAATACATAAACTGTTTTGTCCTTTTATAGATTACGGCAGCCATCTTGAATATTCAAATTTCCCCAGGGGTACAAAAAGTGTATAAAATACATCAAACAAATTAGGTAAACCATTATTATAGATTCGGTGGAACCGGGGTTAGAAACTGGTCTAATCTGCAAATATCGATTATTTCAAACAAAAAGGGCAAAGAGTATTTGGTTTTCATCGCACTTTACACTGAAACAACCACTGCCTGTTTGAGTGTTTTGGCAATGATGGCTACTGATATGGAGGGGATACCATTGGATAGTGGGAATATGGTTTACGTCTGCCTTAGAATCATCTGGGGTGCTGCTTTCGATGATTCTAAGTCAAAAACTCGTCGAAGTGGCCAATTATCTATTTAACTTCTGCAGCTGTAATAAAAAAATCGTTTGGTAATCCCTCTCCTCGTGACCTGGTACCATCATCGTCCTAAAAAGAGGGTATTTGTTATGGTTATAGCAGGGGTACCGGGACCTCGTTTAATGTATCAATTTACTCCAAAAAATGTTTGGGGGTTATGTATGGATGACGATTGTACCAGCACACCTGGTAGTGCTCGGGACAAAATGATACTTGCCTTGAATTCATAATCGTGTATACGTTTCCGGGTAATTATTTTCAAGAACTCTGCTTTCCTTGTCTTGGTTTCTAAATATTGTTTATACCATGTCTACAAATGATAAAGTTGTTGCGTCTCAGAAACGAAGAATAATGGTACACTTTTTAATTTAAAATACATCACAATGTTGGAATAAATATGAATCTTGAATGTGTTTTTTTTGTAAATAAGTATCATTAATATTGAGCGTGATTGTGCGTATTTATATAGATTGTGAGTTGTATAACTGTATATGGAATGCAGGGAATTCGAATTACGGACATAAATCGAATTGCGCATGCCCACACCCCTTTGATACGGACACCCTAAAGTAGCATATATTTACATGATGATTATTTTCACAGATGTTTTAACATCGCTGGACATATCAGCACGGTATTATATTTAAGTGATTTTAATTTGTGACTCTTGTGGATTCGTTCCAAGTTGGGTTTGCCCGACCCCGACACAACTGGTCCAAGCGACTTCATGACACTATAAATAGTTCAGGAACTTCAAATAAAAAAAAATCCACTGTCAAGTCGTAGGGTATTTTGGTGACTATTTCGGTGATTATTCGATGTCTAGCCACGAAAATATCAGGTGAGTCGTTGAAACCCACAAATTAATATATTCTGCAAATGAGAGTTTAACACTCACCCATTCAATAGCGCTCTTAATTGATAACTCCCAACCATTTATATAGACTGGACAATCGAAGTCATTTAGTACAATCTGAGCAGCTTCGGGATCTGCATAAAAGTTGAACTCGGCAGAAATCGTTATATTACCTCTCCCTGAATGAAACATATTTGTACATATTTCGTTACTGTGACATACAATACGTACATTTAATTAATAGGCTCGTACAAGAATAGTAGAAAGACCAAATAGTCTACAGACCATTATATACAACTCGAGTAATGAGAATTATCTGAATTCCCATATTCATCTTATATGTACCATATTTCTATTACATACTATTGTGATAGACTACATCTGCATTCAACCAGATAGAAGGGTCCAATCGGTCCATATAGGATATAAAAGTGATATTCACCTGCAGTATTGCCTCCCATTAAAATGAGCTCTTTGATATTTTTCGAGAATTCTGAGTCCAATCTAGCTGCGAGTGCCAAGTTTGTTAATGGACCCAGTGCAACAAGCGTTAATTGGCCAGGATGTTGTCTGACTAAGTCTATTAATGCATTCACGCCGTGCTTGGACTCGATATGGCTGTCATCCGGGGCATTTGGGTCTGGAGTGTCTCCCAAGCCATCATCACCATGAACACCAGTTGAGTCAAAAGCAGAGTGTCGCGGAAGGATGTATTTTTCAGCACCCCGATGAACCGGTATCTAAAATAATACAACAGTCGCAATTATAATATCGATGAAAAGTAAACTCATTTATTATTTATTTCTGACAATTAAATAACTTAAAGGCAATTCTACGAGAAATGTGTAAAACAATGAATACAAATATCGGAGAAACGTGTCATTGGGGTCTATGTAAACCGCTGCTAAAATGCGTGCATTCTTTGAGGTATCCTCGTAATAACCTCATATTATTATTATAGCAGAGAATGCCCGAATTACATTGCTGGGATGGACACATTGAAATTATGAATTTTTACGATTTTTTAAATTTAACACGATTGGAACTATTTCGGGATAATTGGATTCGCTTAAAATGTGCTACTGGTTTGTTTTCACAAAAATATTTTATTTGTTCGTTTTAGATTTTTTTCTGATAATTTCTTGTATTGATATCAGAAATGAGGAAATTAAGAACAATACTACCCTACAGTAGCACATTTTAAACGAATCTAATTATCCTGAAATAGTTCCAATTGTTTTATTTGTATAATACATTATAAATATTAATAAAGCGCTACAAATAATGCATATTTTATCTGTTAAAGTCGTTCCCCGCGATCGTGTATGCATAATAAAATAACATATATATAAACCAACCAACCAACCAACCAACCAACCAACCAACCAACCAAACAAACAAACAAACAAACAAACAAACAGACAAATAAATAAATAAAGTCGCATTCTGTCCAAAGCCGTTGATCCGTCGCCTATCTCGATATGATTTGTTGTTGCTTACAATTGAAATTTTATGTCTCAATTTTATTTCTCAAATACGAAAACAATTTATGATATATTATTTTTTCCCAATATTTATAAAAGTTTCGTGGCGAACCACTTCCGTAGTAGACGCCCTCCTCCATTCACCAAGACCTCACCAGATATAAACTTACCTTGCCAAGTTTACCGCAGACTTTCAATATTCGTAGAACATTAAGGCACACTTGATTTGTACTGCTGATATTTCCCAGCACGCATGTTATTGCTAATATTTTCACATGAGGCTGTGACAAAGCAATCATAATTGCCTGTGCATCGTCAATGCCAGCATCGCAGTCTATCACCATTAATAATTTCCCATCACCCATTGCGACAAATCACCTGTCAATAAACACGTCTGAAGGAGTGCCGTGAAGCAGTAGAGAGCGGAATGACTGAATAAACAGATTATAAGATGGGAGAATTATATTATTTTACTGTTATAACGCCAATCACATTGCGATATATAGTCGAACCGCTGTAAAGCTCTGCCTTAATAGCGACCGTAATGAAACATTCCCGACCGAATATAAAGTAACAAATCTTGTATAATCTTGTATAAAATTATATATCTGAGTGACTGTTGTGAAATTAAAGGGATTAGATGGGAAAGTGGTTCATGGCGATGAATTGCACTAATTATACCGTGTTTGCTAATTGGACGTAAAAAACGGGTTTCGATGATTCCTATTTAGAAATTTACTAAAGTAGATTGATGGTAATTTTAGACGCAAGTCCAGAATCAATATTTGTAATTAATCCGTTCAATAACCGCTGTTTCCAAACGTGAGGGTTTTGATTTTAATAACCATTTACAACCTGTACACGATCGAACAATTAACTTCATGCTAAATGTGTATCCCATCGGAGGAAGACAATCATTTTTTTATTGATATGCTTAAAAAAACGAAGATACAATACACAAATACAAACTTGTGTTTCAAAATACTCAATGAATGCTCCCCATTTTTTATTATGACTTCCCTGTCTATTTTCTATAATTGCGACTTTATTCTCTGTATGATAAACTAATTTGATATATGATCTAAAACCACCAATGTCTGGTTTTGTCCCAACAATTTTACATTTAAATATATAATAGCGTGTCAATAATAATATAGTATTATGTAATGGTCTAGCACTGTGTACATCCCCCCCCCAAATACATGTGACTGCACTTAACGTCAAAGTATCACATGTAATGAAAGAAAATCATTCATTGACTGATGTCCAAAATACAAATACACATCTACAGTCCCAAAATAAATGAAAGTAGTCTGACTTCTCCACAAAAAGAACACGGGGGGGTCAATTAAGCCCCACAAGCAAAACAACCTATTTGAATGCAATATTTTCATAATAATTTATATATTGAAGATAGCGTAATTTGGCATCGCCAGTAATAGAAAGGGGAGCTAGATAAATAGTTTTCTAAGGTAAAGGGGTGTTCAAAATGTCCAGCCAATATTTCTGTATAACTGAAGGGGTTGCATCAGGAAATTCCTCATGGCAATTCCAAAGGTAAACACTTGTATTAACCTTAGTTTCTGACAGCCAGATATTGTTATGCATATTTGGCATACAGACCCTTAGTTTTGACATGTTAGATTAAACAACACCGCGCTTCCAAATAGATGGAATTGCTGATAATACCATGTTGTATAAAACAGTCGTGTTGTCAATACGAATATTAGAATTATTCCATATTGTTTTTGAAGTATATAATCTATGTTACTTGCACTCGTATAATTATACTGCCCATGGTGAAATTATATTTTTTAGAAAACTTGATCGAAAAGGGCCGAACTTAAACACGTCCAGTTTACCCAGCTTAGCAAAGTAAGCCAGAGCACCACCAAAGTCGAAAGAAAGTATTTAAATATTTTACTGCAAAAGGAAGTATCATCATGGTAAATACGCAGAATCCAAGCTGCTTTCAAAGCTTTATTGCCCATAAGTAAGTAAGTTTACCACCACCTTTCTCATATGACTTGTACAGTACATTTCGTTTAACAAAGACTCTCCTACCACCCCAAATAAACGGGAAAACAATATTTTCATATTACTTAAAGAACTCATCACCAGGAGGTGGTAGAGACATAAAAAGATGGGTGAACTGAAAAATTATCAACGATTTATAATGGTAATTTTTCCAAATATAGTCAGACCCTTTCTGTACCATGGTTGCAGTATCTTCCTCACCTTTTCAATGCGATAGTTAAAATTAACATAGGTTAATTGAGATAAATCAATAGGAATATGAATCTCGAGAACATCGACAGCACCATCAATCCATACTAAGGGATACGGCGTGTCAATATGAAAGTCTGTATTTTTTAAAGAACCAATGCGCAACACCTTACATTTATCATAATTAGGCGATAAGCCAGAAATCCTAGAAAATTCTTCAAGAATATTGAATAAAGCAATAAACGAATCATAACTAGCTTCTATTGAAAAAATTTGTGTCGTCTGCGTATTGTGACACTTTGTTTCTTATTGGTCCAATGAATAAACCTTTAATATTAACACAACTTCTCACCCGAATAGCTAGTAGTTCTACGCTAATGACAAATAAATATGGCGATAACGGACACCATTGCCTAACGCCTCGAAAGAGGTCAAATGTATCTGAAATATTACCATTTTGCTAAAATGCGGTAATCACAGTATAGTAGAGTCAATGGCCGAAGAGAGTCGGGTCTTTATCACGCCCCTGATCTCCACGCCATAACCAGGTCAAGGCATATAACCACGGGAATTCGTGAATGCCGTTCTACAAATGTCACATGTTTCGAAAAGAGTGGGCACGTCCTGCTCAATATGTGGCATTCAGAAATACGGTCACCTTCAATTCGTCAACCAATGTCCTAGCTATTCAGCTATTACTAAACTAGCCACGTGTACATGTCTATTGTTCCAGCCGTTACGCCTGCACCTATTCACAGGGCTATTACTAAACGCGTTGTGACCACCGGACGATGCTTTTAGTGTGCAGAGCTTGGTACAGTTGGACCACTGACGGGATAGCCCTGACGTGGATTATTCAGAGTTATGTACTACTATCTTACATTCAAGTAGAGTTACTTACCAGGAAAATTCCAGTGGAAATCAGTGACACAAGTATATATCCGGAGTTAATTTTGATTTATAAGTTCGATGAGTAGTATTGTTAGGTGTTTGGTCGGCAAAAGCTTGTGTCTATCTGGCCGAGTCGTGGTCGGCCGATAAGTTACTGACGCTGACTTTTATGTTTACACAACTAGTAGCTTCGCGGTGAGTGGCTTTCGCGGTAATTGGGTTTCGTATCTGTAGGGTTTCGCGGGGAGTAGGGCTTTGTCTCAGTAACTGGTCCTTTCATCCTTGTTGAGAATTAAAGTTTTATGTTTCTTTAACAACTGGCACTATTCTTGAAATACCATCCTAGCAGGAGTTCCAAAATAAGACCCATGCTCTGATAATGCCTCTAGTTTCAAAGACCAATAAACACGAATGATTACCATTATGATCTTCTTGGTGTTGCAAAGGATAGTTGAATATTGTTTATTAAAATTAATAATTCCCATAACCGTTTTCCAATATAGATAAATTGTAGTACGTAACAAACTGTATAACTCGGTCTCAAAAATGAAATAAAGGAATGTATATACATTTGTATTTACATTACTTATACTTATTTATTATACTTTTATTGCTACTGTACTGATAGAAATACTGTATTTTTAAAGATGCAATTATTATTATTATTATTATTATTATTATTATTATTATTATTATTATTATTACTATTACTATTATAATGTTCTGGTTATATTTGGTGCGACTGTGGTCTTTGGAACAAACTTGAGGGACTGTAAAACGCAATTTATGGTACGCGACTTAAAAACGTGAATTTCCCAACAAAGGTTTAAATGTTTTAGTTGTATGCGGGTGGCACTAGTGTGGAAAGATGTCGAATAAAATGGCAACAACCTTCGAACGCAACGAATTTTCGGTGATAGCTACGTGGATTTGAACCAAGATGTTATGGCAGCCGTCCCTCAGCAAACAAAAAATGAAACAAAGGCATTTTCGATGTCAAAATCGCGAAACTCTCCCTTATTACGCAAACTGGGAAGTTCGAATTACTAAACGAAGTACAGGACGACGAAGCTTAGATATCCAAGAACCAACACATACCAAAAATTATACCTCAAAAGTGAATATTCGTGGTGTATTTTAAGTCTAACCGGACCATAATTTTGAATCCGTTAGTACTCTAAATATCCAAATATATTTTAGTATAAGGTAGTAAATATAGACTACCAGATATAATAGAGTATCCCGGTCAGGATTATTTCATTAATGACCAGACAAAACATTATTACAAAAGGAACAAGCTCACCTAATATCAATATTGTCGATATCTATATTGTAATATAATTGATAGTCGACCAAGAATTACATTTGTGTATATTAACTAGGTCACACGACCCCATTATCTATATAATGTGCGGGGTTACGACTAATGTTGCCTGCGTATGTAAATACAGTTCAACCAAACACGTGATCAAGATTGCAGATTACGAGTCAATTTAAACAAAATATCAAAGTTGTGTATATATCCAAATAGGCATATTAACTAAATTAATGGCGACCGCAATGGAACAATCCTGACCAAATATAAAGCAACAAATCATGTAAAGTATGTATTGAGATTATGTATGGGAGTGACTTTTTGTGAAATTGGTTTAGATACGGAGAGATTCTGCTAATCAGTTTGTTGGGAATACACGTTGCACAATGTGTTACATATTCAAAGTGTTTCGATCTGGGCTTTGATCTAACATGTACCACGCCATAACCAGGTTACGGCGTATAACCATGGGAATTCTTGAAGCCCAATTCAACTGAAAACAGCTGTTATACAAATACGAAGTGATGTCAGATGTTTGGGCATATACTGCTCAATGTGTGGGACCCAGGAATATTGTCTCGCGTTCTTGCCACTAGACGATGCAGTTTAGACAAGTGTATAGAGCTTGGTACAGTTGGACCACTGACGGGATAGCCCTGACGTGGATTATTCAGAGTTATGTACTACTATCTTACATTCAAGTAGAGTTACTTACCAGTATATATTCGGAAAAATAGTGAAGTTGATTTTGATTTAAGTTCGATGAGTGGTTAGGCCTAAGTACTGTTTTGTGTTTGGTGAGAGAAACTTGATTGTGCATACATGACCAAGTCACGTTCGACCAATAACTTACTCACGCTGACTTTTATGTTTACACAAATATAGACTGCGAAATGATACAGTATCTCGATCAGGTTTATTTCAGTAATGACC